TGTTCCCATAAGGAATATTGTGAATTAGATTAGTCCATTTCAGACCCCCAAACTTGCACGTACAAACGCACTTACATAAATACACTTACATAATTGGTAGCATTGGGAGCTGATTGTAAACCGGGGGTCCACTGTATTTTAATCCTTACCCCTTAATTCTGTTACAATACAAAGACAAAATTATACATAGCATAATACAAAATTATTCAACTACATATATTTCCCTCAACCTCCTCAACTCCCACAAGGCAGTATAATCAGTACACCTCACAGTTGACCAGCATAACAGTTGCTCTCTGGTGCAAAGCCTCCTTACCCATCATTTCTCCTTAAACATAAATATCGGGCTCCAGTGCCTTCCCTACTTCTACTAGAAATGCACTAGCCAATACTAGTCACCCTCGCACATTAACCATTGGGTCAAACCTCTCTAGGCTTCTTTGGCGTGGAAAACTTCTCCAACAGGTTGCATTCTTTCAAGTAACTGCAACTGGACCACTTCACGGCCACCAAGGTCGCATTTTCAGCACACTTCACATGCACACTTCATCATCTGAAAATCGAGGTAGGGCAGGCATCGCAGCTAAGACCCTCCATTATCCTATGCCACTATCAGGATTCACTGGCCTCATAAAACAAGGCGGCCATAATCACTGGACCGTATTCAAGGTCACCTTATTTCACACAGGTAACACTAACACTTCTGGCAAGTCAAAGTAGGCTGGAGACATCTCACATTCTTAACTGTCTCTCATGGCTGGCAGGACATCCCCGCATACCGGTCGTACAGGTAGACCAGCAAGGCAGGATACACCTCCATACCGCCCTTGATAGCAGGCTCTCTTATCCTGGCACACCAGCCAGAATCCCTCATACACCACTGCAGCATCACTGCCATCGTCTCCTCTTGAGCTAGGCAGCATCACAGCACGGCCACAGCATCGCAGCACGGTCCCAGTATCTCAGCATCACAGCACGGCCACAGCATAGCAGCACTGCTACAGCATTGCAGCATGGTTCCAGCATCTCAGCATGGCTGTATCACAGCAGCACACAGCACGGCCACAGCATCGCAGTACGGCTACAGCATTGCAGACAGCATCACAGCAGCCGACATCAGTAGTAGCAGGCTATGGTCAGTTGCTTGAGGTGAGGTGAGGTGAGGTGAGGTCACTTCAGGTCATCAACAGCAGGTGCGGTCACCCAACCCTGGCAACTGCGGAAATGGCGGTCTGCGGGTGATGGTCACAGAGGCTGGGTGACGCAGACAGACACCCACTACAATGGATGACAGACCAGGGCAGCAATACATCTACTGGGGCACATCAGCTGGGTGGCTGGGCACATCAGGTGGATAGCAATCATAGGCAACTCTTCAATGAGTGACAGTTGTGGGTGAGTCTTCCAAGGCGGGCTGGGTGACTTCTCATTCCTCTGTAAATATTCAATTTCGGCCAGTAATTGCTTCACCCAAACACTGATATTCTCCACCATTTATCCAAAACCAACAACCAACTCCACCAAATATAATAATACAACCACACAATTACTCAGACACACCATCAAAAAAAGGTCAGTTAAGGTCACTAGGATTGTATCACACAGATATTTACTTTAGCTTTACACACACAAGAAAAAAAATGGTAGCAAACGGTAGTATAACATAAGTATAACTGAGCAGTCAAAAAGGCACATGGGACTGATTCCTTTTATAAAAATAATAAGAATCACCACCGCTTATACACCATGTCATGTAGGGGGGTATTGAAACGTAATGGCTAATTGGGGAATATGGGAGTAAGGGGTTATGTAGGCAGGGGATAGGCAGGCAAGGTGATAGGAGAGATGATTTGCAGAGGTAGGTAATGTGAGGTCACTGGTGACTACACCTTCACCTCTCATTACTTTACCCACCACTCTACTCACCCTCTCACTACTTGAAATAAAAATACATGTAAATGAATAAATGAGTAAATAACGGGGACAGTAAATATTACTGTTCTACTCAAACACTGTTTATTATTAAGTCTTTGTACAATAATATATTTGGAAACAGGAGTACATTATTGTGTTTAGATAAATGGGGTGGTATACATAAGCAGTGAGACAGGGAACACAATCAACTTGATGAAAATGAATATAACTTACAATATAGTTCAGAGGACAGTTCACCACAGGAACTAAGCCACAGGTCCCAAGACCTACACAGCACAAATACTGCTCCAAGCCAGTACTCTACCCAATGTTTTCAACAGTCTCCTCCAGAGACTTCAGCAGCCTTCTCCGGAGCCCTGCACCCCAACAGCAGCTCCTCTCGAATCTCCTGCTCAGAGCTCTGCACACAGCAGCAGCTCTGCTCGAAGTCTCTCTGCTCAGAGCTCTGCACACAGCAGCAGCTCTGCGCAAAGTCTCTCTCCTCAGTTGTTCCTTGGGCTTATATTGTCCCGAGAGCACCTCCCCTCAGTGGGGTGTGCACCACGTGTTTTGACCTGACACCGAGATCTGACGCCGAAAGGCGTGGCTGACAGACATTTGCCAGAACATTATACTCAAATATTAACTCTCCTCTCAAACTACTTCTTGATAACTACAACAGAACACACAGCCATAATACAAGGCACAAATCACTCTTCGATATCCCTTGTGTCCCTCCCTATGCAAAAATGCTGTAGGGCCTGAAGATCTGGAATTCATTGCCAGAACACACTAAATGGCCCCTCGCCTGCAAATTAATTTAAGGCCCTAATTAGAAATCACCTCATCACCCAAAATTAATCAGACAAACACTTTATTTGACACCTACCAGTTACTCAACTATTTATCATTTACTTCAAACTTAAAATTGTTTCAATTTCATTATTATATATTGTGCTTGATGATTACTCAACTATTTAATCATTACTTCAAATTTATAATTCTTTCAACTTCATTGTTTTAAAATGTGCTAAATTGTAATACTGTATTTTTTATATACTATATTAAAACTGTAATTATTCTCAACCAAAATTACTAAAGCCATATAGCCTGAACTAGTTGAATATTCAATTTTCTTGTGAAAAATTAGACACTTGCAACATTTGGGAATCTTTTTTGTAGACGTTTTGCCATCTAGTGGCTTTATCAATACAAATTCAAGGATGTAATTGGAAGACAGTAGAACTATATACAAAAGATGAGGTAATCAGTCCCTCAGACTTGGAGTTGGTGTGAAGAGCACTGTAGTCATGAAGATTTTGGAGCACAGGCAAGAAGGCTGGTGCTTATATACTGGTGTCAAGTGGAAAGGGATGGATTGCAGAGGAAGGCATAGTCCTTGTAGGCAGGATTCCCCAGTGGAAGTAGGTCATACCCAAGGCACGGGTTAATGGTGGTAGAAGTAGCATTAGTAGTAGCAGCAGCCATGAAGAAGGTTATGTAGATGTCTGTAGAGTATACTTGGAGAGGGTTTTGGGGCTCAGCACCCCTGTGGCCTGGTTTGTGACCAGGCCTCATGGTGGATCAGGGCCTGATCAACCAGGCTGTTACTGTTGGCTGCACGCAACCCGACATATGAACCACAGCCCGGCTGTTCAGGTACTGACTTTAGGTGCCTGTCCGGTGCCTTCTTGAAGACAGCCAGTGGTCTATTGGTAATCCTCCCTTATGTATGCTGAGAGACAGTTGAACAGTCTAGGGTCACTCACACTTATTGTGTTGTCTCTTATCTTGCCAGTGGTGCCCCTGCTTTTCATTGGGGGGATGTTGTATAGTCTGCTGAGTCTTTTGCTTTCATAGGGAATGATTTTCATGTGCAAGTTTGGTACTAATCCCTCTCGGATTTTCCAAGTGTATATAATTTTGTATCTCTCCCGCCTGCATTCTAGGGAGTACAGGTTGAGGAACTTCAAGCGTTCCCAGTAATTGAGGTGTTTTATCATGGCTATGTGTGCCACGAAGGTTCTCTGTACATTTTCTAGGTCAGCAATTTCACCTGCCTTGAAAGGTGGTGTTAGTGTGCAGCAGTATACCAGTCTAGATAGAACAAGCGACCTGAAGAGTGTCATCATGGGCTTGGCATCCCTAATTTTGAAGGTTCTTATTATCCATCCTGTCACTTTTCTAGCAGATGCGATTGATGTATAACCTTCTTCACGGCTGCTGCTACTACTACTACTACTACCACCACCACCACCACCATTAACCCGTGCCTCGGGTATGACCTACTTCCATTGGGGAATCTCGCCTACTAGTGACTATGTCCTCGTCCGTAACCTGTCCCTTTCCACCTGATGCTACTATATAAGCGCCAACCTTCTTGCCTGTGCTCCAGAATCTTCACAACTACTGTGCTCTTCCAAGTCTGAGGGACTGATTACCTCATCTTTTGTATATAGTTCTTCTGTCTTCCAGTTATGTTCTTGAATTTGTATTGATAAAGCCACTTGATGGTGAAACATCTACAATAAAGATTCCCAGATGTTGCACGTCTAATTTTTCATCTTGTCGGTATTGTATACCATTCACGTACAGTTTTCTTGTATTCACTGTAATTCACTTAATGACCATATGTAAAATTACAGCACTGTTATTGCCTTATTAATCTTATGTTAGTCTTAAGCTTGCCCGAAATACTCTGCACATAAAGGGGCTTTTGGCATCGTTGCCAAATTGTTACACTCATTTGTACGAACACGTATCATGTTAAAATAAACTTATTGTTATTGAATGGGGGTCTGTTAAATTGAGGTTTTACTGGTTAATAATAATGAGCAGCAGAATAGTATAAGTAAAAATATCATATCAATTTCTGTTTTAGATAATATAGTCATTAGGCATAGATCATATTCATCATGGAAGACTTCATTATAAAAAAATAACTTATTTAAAGTTTAGTTTTAACTGAACCTACATGTGCAATTGTTCTCAGTTATTCTGAAAGTTAAATTCCAAATTATACATTGAATGTGCTGTATTATTATTGTATGATAATGTACACTTAATTTTCATTTTCATTTCTTCAGGCTTCACAAGAATGTGTGCACAAGTATGAATTGGAGAAGCTTAGTGATGGTCTTGCTGTCTCAAAGCTTGGTCTGAATTTCAGGTTAAATCAGTCTCACTTTATTAATGGTGAACTTAAACTAAAGGTAAGAGACAGTAAATTATTTTGTTGTATTACTTATGGAATCCAAAACATAATGATTTTTTTTGTCATCATTGAATTGCAGTTGGAGCAGTCTACAGGTTACCTCATACTAATATCCCATCCTTTAGTGACAACCTGAAGAACCTAATAACTAACAAGCAGTTAAACAAAAATTATTTAGTACATGCTGGTGCCACGGCCTGGTGGCAAAACCTCTTGCTTCACACAGGGTTCAATTCCTGGCGAGGGTTGAAACATTGGGTGTGTTTCCTTACACTGTCTGTGTTCACCCATCAGTAAAAAATGGGTACCTAGGTGTTAGTCAACTGGTGTGGGTCACATCCCAGGACAAAATTGACCTAATTTTCCCAAAATGCTCTGCATAATAAGCAGCTTTATATAGAGTTGTATCTCATTGATGTCAAGTAAAAGGACACAAGTGCAACTAATGTGACATTTTATTGTAGCAACGTTTCGCTCTCCAGGAGCTTTGTCAAGCCATTACAAACAATACATGGACACAGAGGGTATATGTAGGCTTAGAGGTGCAACACTAGTGGTAGTAGTAGTGATAAAAGTTGTAGTAGTAGTAATAATACAATTAATTTGCACATGAGTAAAAAGGATATAAAAGCTATTACTTGGGTACCATAAAAATGTAGTCTCTTCTATTAATACTACAGAAGCACATTGCAGAGGATGAACACTGAAACAGGCTTTCTCTAATTTAACCTCCAATAAAAATATTTGTTTAACTTATTTTTATGCTACCCAAGTAATAGCTTTTATATCCTTTTACTCATGTACAAATTAATTGTATTACTACTATTACTACAACTTATATCACTACTACTACTACTACTATCACTAGTATTACACCTCACTCTAAGCCTATATATACCCTCTGTGTCCATATATTGTTTGTAACGGCTTGACAAAGCTCCTGGAGAGCGAAACGTTGCCACAGTAAAATGTCACATTAGTTGCACCTGTGTCCTTTTACTTTACATATTGTTGGTAATTCTGCCAAAATATATACAGTCATTGATGTTAGCTAGGCCTGTATACCTAGTACATGTACCTGTAGAAATAAAGATTACAGTGGGCCCCCCGACCTACGATATTAATCCGTTCCTGAGAGCCCATTGTAAGACGAAATGATCATAGGTTGAATTAATTTTCCCCATAAGAAATAATGGAAATCAAATTAATCCATGCAAGACACCCAAAAGTATGAAAAAAAAATTTACCAAATGAAATATACATTTTCCTACAAAAAGAAGGATACATGCACAATAGTAGAGTAGTACATGCACAATATATATTGTGCATGTACTACTCTACTAAATGAAGAATAAATGATACTTACCTTTATTGAAGATGCAGCAATGACTGATGAGACATTGTGCCCTGGGAGTGCCTTTTCCTCCTGAGTAATGTGGTCCTGTTTGGCATTTTCTTCTTAAACAGGCCTTATCACACTGTGTATGCCACTACGATTCTTAAATCTCTCAAACCAACCTTTGCTGGCCTTAAATTCAGCAATATGAGCACTAATTCCAGGCATTTTTTCCTGTTCACCTGGGTGTTAGTTGACTGGTGTGGGTTGCATCCTGGGGAATAAGTAAGTAAGTAAGTTTATTCAGGTATATACAAATACAGTTACATAGAATTATCATACATAGCAGCATATGTGTAGAGAACCTAGGACAACCCAAAAAAGTCAGACAGAGTGACTTATTTCCATTGGGGTCCTTTTACCTTATTATTATAATATAAAGGTTATAATATTTTCTGGGAGACAGTAATGGTGAAGCTGGAGGTGCTGTCCTGGGAGACAGTAATGGTGAAGCTGGAGATTTTGTCCAGGTAGTCGGGAATTATACGCAGGAATGAATACACATAAATGACCTCATAGGGGACAGGAGCCGTAGTAGGGAAACAAGTGTAGTCAAAGATAAGATAAAACCAATATTGCAAACTAGAAATACCACAGGAAATAGCAAACAAGAGGACTCCACTAGCAATAGTGAGGATATATTACCAAAAACAACTGGTGGGAGCTCCATTGTTGGTGCTAGGGAGGATAGGAATAAGACAGGGAAACATGCACCAACAGGGAATACAGTCACAGAAACCCAAGGCAAATGGAAACCAAGCCTGTGCACGTACTATGCACTTGGTATCTGCAGACATGGGAAATCTGGAAAAACAGACGGGACATGCAACTATGACCACCCTAGAAAATGCCATGCCCATATGACAACAGGAAAATGCAAACTCCCTTCCTGTAAGCCTTTTCACCCTGAACTGTGTACCTCTTCAGTACAGGAAAGACTGTGCTGTAACTTAAATTGCCAGGCACACCATCTAAAGGGGACAAAAAGATACAAAACATCCAGGCCATGGGAAAACCTGGGTAGCCACAGCCACTCAAGAGGGAGAGGTTTTTTTAGTGCCAGGAAGGAAAAAAAACTGGCAGGAAATGGCAGAAATCGTACACCAAATCCAGTCATTCCTGGAGTGGAACCACAGTCGATGGCCTCCACTCCAAACCAACAGATACAGATACTAATGCCGGAAAAAAAATCCCCCCCCCCCAGTACCAACACTACCACCAGTCCGATGACATTCTTCTTTGCAAATATACAGGGTCTAAAGCCAGCAACAAACAACAAAATACCTTTCATCCGTGGACTGCTTGCAGAGGCAAAGGCAATGATAGCGGCTTTCACTGAGACCCACATAAAGGATCACTTGGACAACGAAATATGGATCCCAGGTTACAACCTATACAGATGTGACAGAGTGAACAGGAAAAAAGGGGGGGTTGGCCTGTACATTGCAAAGTCACTTGTTTGCACAGAACTGCTTAATGCCTCAAATGATGTAGTGGAAGTTTTAGCAGTAAAGGTCGAGAACCAAAACCTAGTCATTGTGGTAGTCTACAAGCCTCCGGATGCAACATCCCAGCAATTCCAGGAACAGCTGTTAAAAATTGACCACTGTCTGGAAAATCTTCCAGCTCCTGCACCCAACATCTTGCTCCTGGGGGATTTCAACTTAAGGCACCTAAAATGGAGGAATATAGCAAATAATATTGTTGCAGTAATAACACCAGTAGGCAGCTCTGATGAAAACTCACACTCACACGAGCTTTTAAATCTCTGCACAAAATTCAATTTAAACCAGCAAATAATAGAGCCTACTAGACTGGAGAATACACTAGACCTCATCTTCACTAACAATGATGATCTGATAAGAAATGTCACCATATCAAAAACAATATACTCAGATCACAATATAATTGAGGTTCAGACATGTATGCGTGGAGCCCTAGACCGACATAATGAGACTAGTCATGAGGGAGCATTCACCAAATTCAACTTCAATAACAAAAACATAAAGTGAGACCAAGTAAACCAAGTCCTAACCGATATAAGCTGGGAAGATATACTAAGCATCACAGACCCCAACTTATGCCTAGAACAGATTAACTTGGTGGCACTCAATGTATGCACAAGGCTTATTCCTCTAAGAAAAAGGAGGAGTAGATGTAAAATAGAAAGAGACAGGTGCTCCCTTTACAGGCGACGGAAAAGAATAACAGAGCGGCTAAAAGAGGTCAATATATCTGAAATGCGTAGGGAGACACTGGTCAGAGAAATAGCAAGCATCGAACTTAAGCTAAAGGAATCTTATAGGAGTCAGGAATCGCGGGAAGAACTAAAAGCCATAAATGAAATCGAAAGAAACCCAAAGTATTTCTTCTCCTATGCCAAATCAAAGTCAAGAACAACGTCCAGTATTGGGCCCCTACTTAAACAAGATGGGTCCTACACAGATGACAGCAAGGAAATGAGTGAGCTACTCAAGTCCCAATATGACTCAGTTTTTAGCAAACCGCTAACCAGACTGAGAGTCGAAGATCAAAATGAATTTTTTATGAGAGAGCCACAAAATTTGATTAACACAAGCCTACCCGATGTTATCCTGACGCCAAATGACTTCGAACAGGCGATAAATGACATGCCCATGCACTCTGCCCCAGGGCCTGACTCATGGAACTCCGTGTTCATCAAGAACTGCAAGAAGCCCCTATCACGAGCCTTTTCCATCCTATGGAGAGGGAGCATGGACACAGGGGTCGTCCCACAGTTACTAAAAACAACAGACATAGCCCCACTCCACAAAGGGGGCAGTAAAGCAACAGCAAAGAACTACAGACCAATAGCACTAACATCCCATATCATAAAAATCTTTGAAAGGGTCCTAAGAAGCAAGATCACCACCCATCTAGAAACCCATCAGTTACACAACCCAGGGCAACATGGGTTTAGAACAGGTCGCTCCTGTCTGTCTCAACTATTGGATCACTACAACAAGGTCCTAAATGCACTAGAAGACAAAAAGAATGCAGATGTAATATATACAGACTTTGCAAAAGCCTTCGACAAGTGTGACCATGGCGTAATAGCGCACAAAATGCGTGCTAAAGGAATAACAGGAAAAGTCGGTCGATGGATCTATAATTTCCTCACTAACAGAACACAGAGAGTAGTTGTCAACAGAGTAAAGTCCGAGCAGCTACGGTGAAAAGCTCTGTTCCACAAGGCACAGTACTCGCTCCCATCTTGTTCCTCATCCTCATATCCGACATAGACAAGGATGTCAGCCACAGCACCGTGTCTTCCTTTGCAGATGACACCCGAATCTGCATGACAGTGTCTTCCATTGCAGACACTGCAAGGCTCCAGGCGGACATCAACCAAATCTTTCAGTGGGCTGCAGAAAACAATATGAAGTTCAACGATGAGAAATTTCAATTACTCAGATATGGTAAACACGAGGAAATTAAATCTTCATCAGAGTACAAAACAAATTCTGGCCACAAAATAGAGCAAAACACCAACGTCAAAGACCTGGGAGTGATCATGTCGGAGGATCTCACCTTCAAGGACCATAACATTGTATCAATCGCATCTACTAGAAAAATGATAG